CTGAGGCTGGAAGCCAAACAAAGTAACAGAATTGGAAGACAAAGTACATGGTGAACACGCAAGGCTGGAAATAATGCTTGTTTCTCCCAGCCATAGTAGAAACTTCATAATTCATGTGGCATTAGGTAAAGTACTCAGAAGGGTTTTGCCCTGAAAGTAGGAAATCATAATCTTTAGACTAAACGCTGCGATATCCATGCTACCAAATCATAATAGAAACATCCAAAAGAATCAAACTGCTTCCAAGTAATTTAACTATGTCCCAGCAGAAAGTTCAAAAATATTTATAGGAATAAAAAAATATCCAACACCAAACAATGTAAATTTCATACTCTCAGGAATTCAATCAAAAATTAAAAGCCATTTACAAAAGCAGGAAAATAAAACCTGTAAGGAGAAGAAAACTCAGCTAACTGAAACTGTCCTAGAATCGACACCAAGGTTACCACCTTGGTAACACCAAGAAACATTAACAGACAACCATTTTCAAGATATTCTGAAACTTAGGTAGAGACATGGAGGCTATAAAAAAGATTCAAATCAACTTTTAGCAATGGACACTCTAATGACTGAGATCATATACTAAGTGGGATAGTAATTTAGAGATTAGAAAAGATTAATAAAATTGAAGACATAGCCACAGAAACTTTCCAAAATTAAAAAAGAAAAAAAAAACCAGCAAAAATGTAAAGATTATCAGTGAATTACGCAGAAAGTATAAAGTGGCCTAACAGGGGGTCTGGGTAGCTCAGCCAGTTAAGAATCTGACTCTTGATTTCGGCTCAGGTCATGATCTCATGGTTCATGACATCAAGTGCCACACTGGGCTCTGCATTGACAGTGTGGAGCCTGTTTGGGATTCCCTCTCTCCCTCTCTGTGCACCTACCCTGCTCAGGCATGCTGTAAGTAAGAAGTAAATAAATAAATAAATAAATAAATAAATAAACAAAAAAATAATAAAGTGGCCTAATATACCTGTAATTGAAGTCCTAGAAGAAATAATTTTCCAATATGATAATTTTGGAAATAATTAGCCAATAATTAGCCAATAATTTTCCAAATATGATAAAATTATACACCCACAGTTCCAATATAGGCAATGAACCTAAGAACAAGAAACATGAAGAAAACTACACCAAGGCACATCATAATCAAACTGGTCAAAACAAATGATAGACAATCTGAAAGCAACTAGAGAAAAAGAAACTCTATATGCAGACCAAAAAAGAAAAAAAGATGACAGAAGAGTTACCAGTAAAAACAATGCAAACAAGTCAAGGGTAGAACAACATCTTTACTAACAAAAAGGAAAGTCACCCTTAAATTCTAAACAAGTAAAAATATTTCAAAAAAGGAAAAAAATGAATTTTAAACACAAAAAATTAAAATAATTCATCATCACAAAATCTGTCTTACAAGAAATATTAAAGGAAATCTTTCAGGAAGAAAGAGAAACACCAGACAGGCATATGAATCTACTCAAAAAAACAAAATCAATGGAAATGGTAACTTTATTTTGTTAATATTTAAATATCTTTAAAACAAAAGCATTTATATGTAAATGTATAATAATGTATTGTAGGGTTTATAATATATAAATATAACCAATGTTAATTATAATAGCATAAAGTTGAGATGGGAAGAAACAGGAGTAATGGTTCTCATACCACAGATGAAGTGGTGCAATATTATCTGAAGGCAGAATTAACTTCTGATAGGTTAAATATGTATACTTGGAGGCAGACAACTTATGATTAAAGATATATAATATAAATATATTTAAATATTTAACATATTTAAATATTTATATATTTAATAAACCTTAAAGCAACCAACAAAAGAGTTATAGCTAAGCCAACAACGGAGATAAAACAGAGTTAAAAAAACTCCTTCAACCATAAGAATGCAGACAAGGAAGACAAAGAGGGAAAAAGATAAAAAATAAATAAAAGCAAGACTAGACTATGTACTGTGTATAAAAAACACAGTTTAGTATAAAGATATAAATATCTTAAAAGGATGGACAAATATACAGCATGCTAACACTAGTCAGAACAGAGCTGGAGTGTCTATATTAGTACAAGAGAAAAATGATTTCAGATAAAAGAATATTAGCAGGGATAATGAAGATCATTTTCATAATGGTAAGGGTCAAGAGGATGTGATGATCTTGTATCTTTCCATCCTTAAGATAAAAAAGTTTAAAATTCATGGAGCGAAACCTAACAGAACTGCAGGAAAAATAGTTAAATCCATAAATATAGTCAGATATTATAATATTACTCTTGGAATAATAGAACAAATACAAAGAAAATCAACAAGATGTAGAGATTTGAACACATTAGCAACTGACTTCTCATGGACATTTACAAAACACTCCACAGAACAAGATCAGAATGCACATTCAATTGCATATGCAACATCTGCTGAGGCCATACTCTAGACCATCAAACAAGTCTCAATAAATTAAAAATTCAGTTCATAAAAAGTATTTTCTCAGAAGAGTGCGGAAGATGGCAGTGGCGTAAGAGGACCCTAGGCTTGTCTCATCCCATGAACACAACTAGATAACTATCAAATCATCCTAAATACCCCAGAAATCAACCTGAAGACTGACAGAATGAACTCCACAACTAAAAGGAGAGGAGAGGCCACATCTAAAAAAGTAGAAAGTGCAGAGACGTAGTTTAGGGGAGAAATGGACCATGGGTGCTATGGAGGGGAGGAAGCCATGGTCACAGAGAAGGGAGAGAGACAGGAACAGGGGAAAGGGAGAGGGAGAGAGGTAGGGAGGGAGGAAGAGGGATAGAGAGAGAGTACACACCCACACAAAGCAAATATTTCCCCAAAGCCACTGACTTGGAAAACAAAAAGGGGCTGAATTTTGTGAGTTCTTGCAAACAAGACTTAAAGCCTGGAGTTTTAAAGGTCAGTGGGCTTGGCTAGGATAGAGCCCTTAGGGCACTGCCCTACTCCTGAAGACAAGGCAGGCAAATAACCCAGGAGCAGAGTATGATGCCTGGGGCACACAGATGGGAGATTATTCCCTCTTCTCTGAGCACATCCCTGAGAGGCAGCATTCAAGGAGACTCCTCTATGGGAAGAAAGAAGTTGGATGGCAGCATTTCCCTCCCACCACCCCTCAGCATAAAAAACAGAGCCATTTGCAGAAAACAGAGCAACACTGACACTGACTGCCTAACTTGCACAAACCAGGCCCCACCCCACTGTGGTCCAGTGGAACTGCCCACATCAGTCAACCTTGCTTTTCAGTTCCAGCACAGCCCAGTGCAGCATCGGGGCCCCTCCTGCAGAAGACCCACACAAACACCTGCTCACACACTCCTGACCAGAGAGTTCTGCAGGGGCCTCAGTTCTGGTGGAGTTGGTGTCAGGTCTCATTTCACAAGCAGATCGCAGCACATCTAGTTAAAACTTGCCACATTCAGGTGAGGTACCAGACACTACCCACTGCAGGCAAGGAAAGCCTCTACAGACAAGTGGTCTGAAAAACAGAACAGCCAAAACACAATAGCAGAGCACATGCATCACATACCAAAGACACTCCCTGAAGTGCCAGGCCCTGGGCACTACACGCCCTCTTCATTATAAGGCCATTATTTTCAGGAAAAGAGGAACAGAGGAACTGGCTTTTCTAATATACAGAAGGCAGAGGCTTAGACAAAATGCCAAAATGGAGGACTTATCCCAAATGAAAGAATAAGACAAGGTCACAGCAAAACAGATATAAGTAACATGCCTGATGGAGAATTTAAAGCAATGATTATAAGGATATTCACTGGGCTTGAGAAAAGAATGGAAAATATCAGTGAAACCCTTACAACAGACATAAAAGAGTTAAAAAGAATTAATCAGAGACAAAGAATGCAATAAACAAGATTGGAAACAGGCTTGATGCACTGAAGAGCAGGCTGGAAGAAGCAGAGGAATGAATTAATGACCTAAGACAAAATAATGGAAAATAATGAAGCAGAAGAAAAGAGAGAAAGAATTATGCAACACAAGAATAGACTAGGGAACTCAGTGACCCCATCAAACATACTAACATTTGTATTAAAGCATCCCAGAAGAAGAGAGAGAAAAGGGGGCAGAAAATTTATTTGAAGAAGTAATAGCTGAAACCTTCCTTAATCTGGAGGAAGGAAACAGTCATCTAGATTCAGGAGGCACAGAGAACTCCTATCAAAATCAACAAAAGCAGACCCAACACCAAGACATATTAAAATTAAATATATATGGGGCGCCTGGGTGGCGCAGTCAGTTAAGCGTCCGACTTCAACCAGGTCACGATCTCACGGTCCGTGAGTTCGAGCCCCGCATCGGGCTCTGGGCTGATGGCTCAGAGCCTGGAGCCTGTTTCCGATTCTGTGTCTCCCTCTCTCTGTGCCCCTCGCCCATTCATGCTCTGTCTCTCTCTGTCCCAAAAATAAATAAACGTTGAAAAAAAAATTAAATATATAAAATACAGTGATAAAAGAAAAAAATCTTAAAAGCAGTAAGGCAAAAGAAGTCCTTACTTTACGAGAAGAGCCATCAGGGTAGCTAGAGATTTCTCAACAAAACTTAGAGCTAGAAGGGAGTGGCATGATTTCTCAACAAAACAAAAGCTAGAAGGGAGTGGCATGATATATTCAAAGTGCAAATAGGAAAAATATGCATCCAAGAATACTCTATCCAGCCAGGCTATCATTCAGAATATAAGGAGAGATAAAAGAGTTTCCCAGCCAAACAAGAACTAAAAGAGATCAGGATCACTAAACAAGCCCTGCAAGAATCATTAAAAGGGATTCTTTGAGTGCAAAGGAGAAACCAAAAGTGATAAATACAAGAAAGGATCACAAAAAGTCTCCAGAAACAATGACAAAACAAGTAATAAAATGGCAATAAATACATATCAATTATTACTTTGAATACAAATGGACGAAATGCTTCAATCAAAAGATACAGAGTATAAGAATGGATGTATCTATATACCGCCAATAAAAGACTCATTTTAGACCTGACAACACCTCCAGATTGAAAGTTGAGGGGATGGAGAAAAATTTATCATGCAGATGGATGTCAAAAGAAGGCCAGAGTAGCAATACTTATATTGGACAAACGACTTTAAAATAAAGACTGGAGGATCTGGGCCAACATGGCGGAGAAGTAGGAGGATCCATAAGTCCCACGTCTCTCTTTGAACACCAGAGCCTGGGAGGAAAAGAGACTGAAACTATTAGGAAGAAAATGGGAAAGCTGGAAAAAAGATAGGTGGGTAACTGCGAACTGGGGGAGATAAAAAAAAAAAAAAAAGGCCACGTGGGCACGGAGGGGAGGGACCCCCTTCTGCAGAGAAACAAAAGGAAGAGAAAGAGCGGCTAGGGAAGTGCAGGACTGTAACTGGACAGGAGAAAGACCTTGGACTGAGGCTGAGAGGGATCCCATCTCTAACTGCTGGGCTTTCTTCAGACTGAGGCCTGGCTCCCTGTTCACGCACCTGGGGAGGAGGGGAGCCAGCCCTGGGTGCAGTGGTAGATCAGAGGCTCAGTCTGCAGCTGGAGAAAGTGGTTCCCTCCCTGGAAGGCTGCGTGACAGCACAGAACCTGCCTGCTTCCGCCACCCCCGGAACAGTGGCTGAGCTAAGGGCTCAGTCTGCAGGAGGATAAGGTGGCCGTTTCCCTGGAGTGCTTTGGTAAAAGACAAAGGCTGCCTGCATCCGCCACCAGGGGGCTCGTGGTGAGGGCGACAGCTCTCAGTCCGCAATAGAAGTCGGTCTTCCCTGAAGCTCAGTGGCACAGAACAAGCCAGCTGGGGCGACTCTGAATCCTAGCCAAGCACAGGGTTAGGGGAGTTGGTGGAGTGAGAAGGACAGCCCCGTCTGCACCCCAGGGCACGGTGAGGACGATTCAAATGGACTCTACCGGGTCTGGCTCTGTGGAGAAGAGACTGGGAGATCACCATACCCCCTCTCCCGCCACATCCCCCCACACCCCCGCACGAAACCACCACCACCACCACCACAGTGGGGCCTCAGGGATCACTCCTGGGGCCCATAGTGGAGGTGGGTTCAGAATACGCCAAACCACACCCCCTTGCAGTGGATAACTGTGTAACCACCTGAGCAGCACAGACACTGTGGACAGCTCCTCCCAACAAGTGATGCAGCATTGCCTGGATTAACTCTAGGTCAATTCTGGATATATAGATATATTCTACCCACCGCCCCCCCCCTTCCCCACCGTGCCATTTCCCCTCCTTATCTCTTCCTTCCCCTAGGCTGGTTACTCTGGTTATTGGTCTGTCTAATCAAGCCATACAGTTTCTCTGTCTGGGTAATTTTATCTCGTCTCATTTTCCCTGCCTCCTTTATTTTCCTTTCTCTCTCTCTGGGTTAAGCCTTTTAGTCTCTCTGCCTAATCAACATGAATTCCCCACCCTGCCCCTGTCATTTCTCTCCTTATATATGCTCTTCCATCAGCACCGCCTCCACCCTCTTCTCTACTTGTAGTCAGTGTTTTGTTTTTAGTCTTTAGCATTTTGTTTTTGTTTATTTGTGTTATTTGTTTGTGTGTTTGCGTGTTTCTGTCTCCTGTTGGTCTATATGTTTTCCTTTACAGGACTACTCCAAGGAACAAATCAAAGCACACCTGGTGGAGGGTACAAAATATTACTATGAGTAGGATAATAAAATAACCAAAGTCACAACAACAGAGACCAAGTAACAATTCCCGAAAAAACATTTCCCTAACCCTCCTTTAATATAGCAGTGCTCACAGGTGTACAGCATACAAGCTTTTTAAAATGCATAAGGGACAGAAAAGTAGGAAAAATGATAAAATGGAAGAATTCTCCTCAAAAGAAGCTCCAGGAAGTAGTGACACCTAATGAATTGATCCAAACCGATTTAAGCAATATAATGGAACAAGAATTTAGAATAATAGTCATAAAATTAATCCCTGGGCTTGAAAAAAGCATAGAGGTCAGGAGAGAATCTATTGCTACAGAGATCAAGGGACTAAAAAATACTCATGATTAATTTAAAAATGCTATAAATGAGGTGCAAAATAAAATGGAGGTGGCCATAGCATGGATTGAAGAGGCAGAGGAGAGAATAGGTGAATTAGAAGATAAAATTATGGAAAAAGAAGAAGCTGAGAAAAAGAGAGATAAAAAAATCCAGGAGTATGAGGGGGAGAATTAGAGAACTAAGTGATGCAATCAAACAGAACAATATCCGTATCATAGGATTTCCAGAAGAAGAAGAAGAGAAAGGGGCTGAAGGTGTACTTGAACAAATCATAGCTGAGAACTTCCCTGGTCTGGGGAAGGAAACAGGTATTGAAATCCAAGAGACACAGAGAACTCCCTTCAGACATAACTTGAATCGATCTTCTGCATGACATATCATAGTCAAATTGGCAAAATACAAGGATACAGAGAGAATTCTGAAAGCAGCTAGGGATAAACGGGCCCTAACATACAAAGGTAGACACATACAGGTAGTAGCAGACCTATCCACTGAAACTTGGCAGGCCAGAAAGGAATGGCAGGAAATCTTCAATGTGATGAACAGAAAAAAATATGCAGCCAAGAATCCTTTATCCAGCAAGTCTGTCATTCAGAATAGAAGGAGAGATAAAGGTTTTCCCAAACAAACAAAAACTGAAGGAATACATCACCATTAAACCAGCCCTACAAGAGCTCCTAAGGCGGATTCTGTGAGTGAAATGTTGCAAGGCCCACAAAGCACCAGAGACACCACTACAAGCATGAAACCTACAGACCTCACAATGACTCTAAACCCCTATCTTTCAATAATAACACTGAATGTAAATGGACTAAATGCTCCAAGCAAAAGACATAGGGTATCAGAATGGATAAAAAAAACCCAAGACCCATCTATTTGCTGTCTACAAGAAACTCATTTTAGACCTAAGGACACCTTCACAGATTGAAAGTGAGGGGATGGAGAACTATCTATCATGCTACTGGAAGTCAAAAGAAAGCTGGAGTAGCCATACTTATATCAGACAAACTAGACTTTAAATTAGAGGCTGTAAAAAGAGATAAAGAAGGGCATTATATAATAATTACAGGGTCTATCCATCAGGAAGAGCTAACAATTATAAATGTCTATATGCCCAAATGTCTTTGCGGGAGCCTCCAAATATATAAAACAATTAATCACAAACATAAGCAACCTTATTGATAAGAATGTGGTAACTGCAGGGGACTTTAATACTCCACTTACAACAATGGATAGAACATCTAGACAGAGAAATAAATAAACAAGGGCCCTAAATGATATATTGGATCAAACGTACTTGACAGATATATTTAGAACTCTGCATCCCAAAGCAACAGAATATACTTTCTTCTAGAGTGCACACGGAACATTCTCCAAGATAGATCACATACTGGGTCACAAAACAGCCCTTCATAAGTATAAAAGAATTGAGATCATACCATGCACACTTTCAGACCACAATGCTATGAAACTTGAAATCAACCACAGGAAAAAGTCTGGAAAACCTCCAAAAGCATGGAGGTTAAAGAACACCCTACTAAAGAATGAATGGGTCAACCAGGCAATTAGAGAAGAAATTAAAAAATATATGGAAACAAACAAAAATGAAAATACAACAATCCAAATGCTTTGGGATGCAGAGAAGGCAGTCCTGAGAGGAAAATACATTGCAATCCAGGCCTATCTCAAGAAACAAGAAAAATTCCAAATACAAAATCTAACAGCACACCTAAAGGAAATAGAAGAACAGCAAAGATACCCCAAACCCAGCAGAAGAAGAGAAATAATAAAGATCAGAGCAGAAATAAACAATATAGAATCTAAAAAAAATGTAGAGCAGATCAATGAAACCAAGAGTTGGTTTTTTGGAAAAATAAACAAAATTGATAAACCTCTAGCCAGGCTTCTCAAAAATAAAAGGGAAAGGACCCAAATAGATAAAATCATGAATGAAAATGGAATTATTAAAACCAGTCCTTCAGAAATACAAGCAATTATCAGGGAATACTATGAAAAATTATATGCCAACAAAATAGACAACCTAGAAGAAATGGACAAATTCCTAAGCACCCACACACTTCCAAAACTCAAACAGGAAGAAATAGAAAATTTGAACAGACCCATAACCAGTGAAGAAATTAATCAGTTATCAAAAATCTCCCAACAAATAAGAGTCCAGGACCAGATGGCTTCCCTGGGAAATTCTACCAGACATTTAAAGCAAAGATAATAACTATCCTTCTCAAGCTATTCCAAAAAATAAAAAAGGGAAGGAAAACTTCCAGACTCATTCTATGAAGCCAGCATTACTTTGATTCCCAAAACAGAGACCCAGCAAAAAAAGAGAACTACAGGCTAATATTCCTGATATATATGGACGCAAAAATTCTCAACAAGATACTAGCAAATTGAATTCAACAGCATGTAAAAAGAATTATTCACCATGATCAAGTGGGAGGCATCACAATCCCAGACTTTAGCCTCTACTACAAAGCTGTACTCATGAAGACAGCATGGTATTGGCATAAAAACAGACACATAGACCAATGGAATAGAATAGAGACTCCAGAATTGGTCCCACAAAAGTATGGCCAACTCATCTTTGACAAAGCAGGCAAGAACATCCAATGGAAAAAAAAACAGTCTCTTTAGCAAATGGTGCTGGGAGAACTGGACAGCAACACGCAGAAGAATGAAACTAGACCACTTTCTTACACCATTCACACAAATTAACTCAAAATGGATAAAGGACCTAAAGGTGAGACAGGAAACCATCAAAACCCTAAAGGAGAAAGCAGGAAAAAAACCTCTCTGACCTCAGCCATAGCAATTTCTTACTTGACACATCCCCAAAGGCAAGGGAATTAAAAGCAAAAATGAACTACTGGGACCTTATGAAGATAAAAAGCTTCTGCACAGCAAAGGAAACAACCAACAAAACTAAAAGGCAACCAGTGGAATGGGAAAAGATATTTGCAAATGACATATCGGACAAAGGGCTAGTATCCAAAATCTATAAAGAGCTCACCAAACTCCACACCCGAAAAACAAATAATCCAGTGAAGAAATGGGCAGAAAACATGAATAGACACTTCTCTAAAGAAGACATCCGGATGGCCAACAGGCACATGAAAAGATGCTCAACGTCGCTCCTTATCAGGGAAATACAAATCAAAACCACACTCAGATATCACCTCACGCCAGTCAGGGTGGCCAAAATGAACAAATCAGGAGACTATAGATGCTGGAGAGGATGTGGAGAAACGGGAACCCTCTTGCACTGTTGGTGGGAATGCAAACTGGTGCAGCCGCTCTGGAAAACAGTGTGGAGGTTCCTCAAAAAATTAAAAAAAGATCTACCCTATGACCCAGCAATATCACTGCTAGGAATTTACCCAAGGGATACAGGAGTGCTGATGCATAGGGGCCCTTGTACCCCAATGTTTATAGCAGCACTCTCAACAATAGCCAAATTGTGGAAAGAGCCTAAATGTCCATCAACTGATGAATGGATAAAGAAGTCGTGGTTTATATATACAATAGAGTACTACTTGGCAAGAGAAAGAATGAAATATGGCCCTTTGTAGCAACGTGGATGGAACTGGAGAGTGTTATGCTAAGTGAAATAAGTCATACAGAGAAAGATACCGTATGTTTTCACTCTTATGTGGATCCTGAGAAACTTAACAAAAGACCATGGGGGAGGGGAAGGGGAAAAAAAAAGTTACAGAGAGGGAAGCAGGCAAACCAAGTTTTTATTCTCTTAAAACTGAGAATAAACTGAGGGTTGATGGAGGGTGGGAGGGAGGGGAAAGTGGATGATGGGCATTGAGGAGGGCACCTGTTGGGATGAGCACTGCATGTTGTATGGAAACCAATTTGACAATAAATTTCATATTTAAAAAAAAAAAGAATCAATTTGCAATACAGAAATAAATGTGCTGCATTACTGACATACTTAATAACAAGATATAGACGCTTATCTGATAATTGCCATAATTTTCTAAATACTAAGGAACATAAATGGTAATTCAAGGTATCTACATCAACTATGATGTGATATGAAAACTTCTGACGTTTCTACCGGCAATGAAGTTACAAGTCCTATTAATCTTAGGGGGATCTGTAGCCTGAACTCATAATAAAAGACTCAATTTCAGTTAGTGATTAGAAAAATTAAAAAAAAAAGTAAAAAATGGACAGAAAACATGAGAAATTTTTCCAAAGAAGACATCCAAATAACCAACAGACACATGAAAAGATGCTAAACACCACACCTTATGAGGGAAATACAAATCAAAATTACACTGAGGGGCACCTGAGTGGCTCAGTCGGTTGAGTATCCAACTTTGGCTGAGTTCATGATCTCGGCTCTCGAGTTCTAGTCCCGCATCAGGCTCTCTGCTGTCAGCGCAGAGCCCACTTTAGATCCTCTATCCCCCCTCTCTCTGCCCCGCCCCTGCTCACTCTCGGTCTCAAAATAAACACACTTAAAAGAATTACACTGAGATATCACCTCGCACCTATCAGAATGGTTAAAATAAAAAAACACAAGAAACAACAGGTGTTGACAAGGATGTGGAGAAAGGGTAACCCTCTTGCACTGTTGGTGGAAATGCAAACTGGTGCAGCCACTCTGGAAAACAGTATGGAGGTTCCTCAAAAAGTTGAAAATAAAAACTGCCCCATGATCCAGCAACTGCACTATCCAAAGAATACAAAAATACTAATTCAAAGGGATACATGCCCCCTGATGTTTATAGCAGCATTATCTACAATAGCCAAATTATGGAAACACCCCAAGTGTTCACTAACTGATGAATGGGTAAGGATGATGTGGTATAGATATACCATGGGATATTACTCAGCCATAAAAAAGAATGAAATATTGCCATTGGCAATGACATGGATAGAGCTGCAGAATATAATGTTAAGCATAATAGAGAAAGATGAATACCATATGACTTCACTCATGTAAGATTTAAGAAACAGAACAAATGATCAAAGGGAAAAGAAAGAGGGAGAGACAAACCAAGAAACAGACTCTTAACTACAGAGAACAAACTGATGGTTACCAGAGGGGAGGTGGATAGAGGGACAGGTTAAATAGGTGGGTGTGGGGATAGGTTAAATAATGCACTTGTGATGAGCACCAGGTGATGTATGGAGGTGCTGAATCACTGTTATATAACTGAAATAATAATACACTGTATGATAACTGGAATTTGCATAAAAACTTAAAAAGAGTATTTTCTCTAATGACAATGGGATTACATTCAAAATTGGTAACACAAAGGTCTCTGAGAAATCCCCAAATATTTGGAAACAAAATAACTCCTTTCTAAACAACCTATGAGTCAAAGAAGAAATAAAAAGGGGAATTAAAAGGTATTTTGAACTGAATAAAAATGAGAATAAAAACAAGACATACTAAAATCTGTGGGATAGTTCTAAAACAGTGCTTAAAGAGAAACTTATAGCCCTAAACACCTTTAGTATAGAAGATCTTGAATAAATGATCCCACTTCCACCTTAAGAAACTACAAAAAGAATAGCAAACTGAACTCAAAATAAGTTCAGAAAAGGAAATAATAAAAATCTGAACAGAAATCAATGAAATAAAAAATATACATGTACAGAAAATCAATGGAACCAGAAGTTGGTTCTTTGAGATTAAAAAATGATAATCTTCCAACTTGAAAGATCAGGAGTAAAAAAAAAAAAGACATACCATCAATTTCTGCATTGAGAGAGTTTATATCACTATAGATTCTATAGGTATTAATAAGATAAGGGAATAATAATATAAAACAATCTGAAAGGTAGAAATTCCTTTAAAGATTCAAGCTACCAGAGCTCATTCAAGAAGAAAAAGAGAATGTGACCAGTACTTATTAAAGAAATTGAATTTGCAACTTAAAATTTTCCCATAAAGAAAATTCAAGAGCTCAAATGGCTTTACTGGAGTATCTTACCCAACCTTTAAAGAATTGATAGCAATTCTGCACATACTCTCCTAGAAAGTTAAATAGGATGGAATAAATCCCAACTCAACCTATGAAGCCAGCATTTCATGAAATTTTTACAACAAAAGAAAACAACACACAAATATCCCTTGTGAATATAGAAGCAAAAACTCTAGGGGCACCTGGGTGGCTCAGTTAGTTAAAACATCCAACTCTTGATCTCGGCTCAGGTCATCATCTC